GGAGGTTGCCTCATTTGCATTGGAATGTGTGCAAAAGTAAGCATGTGCTAAAAAACCACAAAATTTGCTTGGATGCTTTATTGGTCATTTACAAGTTCATTGATTCATCTACTGATAATTCGACAGAGAGTGTTCTGTTCAAATCACTCTTCCTCTTCGGTGAAGTCTTTTCTTAGTATATTCTGCTACCTATTTATTGCAGATGGTTTTCAGTGATACCTCACAAGTCGAAAACTGTACATACTGTTATTCTCTGCAGTGTAGCGTTCGAATAGAATCCATATCAAATGTTAATCGCCGAGGTGCAGTGGCATCAAAGAATGCCACGCTCACCATCGGACGAAATTTGGCCCGGTAAGTTAGAGAAGTTGCATCAGTTTGATAAAAGCGAAGAGTAATCACAAATTATCAGGGAGATCGTACTTCAAGTGGAATTGGGCGGCGTCTCCGGAGGTCGACCGGCTGTTGCGTCTTATAGCTTGATCGACTGCGTCATCCATAGAACGAACATTGCTCAAGGGAAGGGCTCCATAGAAGTTCCCAGCAGGTTCGTCTCCTTGTCAAATACAATTTATTTCGTACTGTCCCTAAAGTGGTGCTGCTCGGATTACCCTAGACTTTTTTTCGATCCAATGTCAGTCCTTATTTTTGGCAGAATCTTCCCATACAGTTGGTCATTTGAATTCAGTGGAGATGATTCGAATCAGGTTGACGTGCGCTTTTAAGTAGCGGAAGTTAAAAGCAAGTGCGCAGGTCTGACGAGCCAAACTAGCTTACGGTTGTTAACTTGGCAGTGTGAACTTACTTTTGAGGCACTTATAACCACATGATCCCTGGAAATACTCAATCGAAGTTATGAGCAGTCGAAATCTCATGTTTTTGTTATGATCGCGTAGCAGCTTTAGTTTTTTCGGTCAGTAGAGTTATGTTTTCCAGGAAGTTGGTTATACAACTATCGAACTGCGCCCCGAGAAAACTCAATGTATTCCTCAAGTCTCTGCAAGCGAAGCTTGACATCATGCGGTCTGAACGCTCAGAATCTTTATCAACTAGTAATCGCACCCCTCTGGCAATCGCTCGGTTAGTACGTTTCTTAGCATATTTGCTTTGCCTTCTAACATATAATAATTACACGTTTGTTCCATGCTTGTTAGTGTAGGCCCCTCTTAATTTGTCAGCAATTTTTCTTCGTTATTTTGCTTCTAACTTGTATTAGCTTCTAAGAAACGTAGTCAATTTACGGAAGGACCGAGAGTACAGCTGTTCACGCCACTGCACACAGTGCTTCAGCCCGCTAGTGTAGAAGAAATCCGTCGAGTGAAGAAAGTGAGCACTTCAAAATTTTCTTCACAAAAAAAAAAAAAAACAAATTTTCAAGGAAACCACTTCAGAAAGGTGATCTCAAAATTTCACTTCTAAATCCTTTCAATTCGTTTCTTTTCTCTGTCGTATCGGTTAATAATTTAAGCCGTCTTCATCTAAAAAAGCCGAGACAATCCAGTTATCTGAAGAACAACGAGCTGTGATCCGCTGCGTATTGCAGACCTCAGAAAATGTGTTCTTCACAGGTAGTGCCGGCACTGGAAAATCAGTCGTGCTACGACGAATAATAGAAATGCTACCAGCGGGATCTACGTTTGTTACAGCTGCAACTGGTGAGATCTATGTTTAGTATGTAATCACCAATTTCATGCATTCCAAAATATTGTGATTTGGGAGGGGAATGGATCAACCATGCATGAAAAACTGACCATGGGAATGTTTTGTCTGAAAAGCTCCTTTGTACTGTTGATTAGGATTTACAAAATTAGTGGAAGCTTGCGGTCATGTTTGAGGGTTGAGATCCAGTACTTCCGGTCGCTATCCCAACTTGGTTCATTTATGCAAACACCTTAGGCCCATTCCATGCTCTAGGAAGATTTCACCATTTTGTCAGAGATCTTGCATACTGGTACTCGGAAGTCGAGCACAAACTTTTAAGATCTGTTACAATTATCGTACTCTATTTCAATTTGACATCCTTAGTATCGATGTTATTGTGCCTTCCAACAGCTGGAAAATATGTATTGTTAAAAATGCATCTGTACCCAAATGCTTATTAGTTGTTACACTTGTTCTTTAGGAGTGGCAGCATGTCAGCTTGGCGGTATAACGCTGCACAGTTTTGCTGGAATAGGAGTTGGTCGAGGTACTGCTGAAGAGTGTTTGGGACTAGCCATGTCCAAAGATAACATTGTCAAGCAGTGGAAGCTTTGCAAGCACCTCATTATTGATGAAATTTCTATGGTCGATGCAGACTTCTTCACAAAGATTGAATATGTAGGTTTTCCAAATTTTAAATCTCACTTTTTGTTGCAAGATCCTTCTTTCGGGACTTGCTGACGGCCGTTTCCGTTTGGTTCACCTCACCTTGCATGAAATATTAGTAAATTACCGCATGTTTTCCACTTCTTTTTCGATGCTTTTGCGTATCAATATAATTAGTACATCGCTTTTTCTTATCACTTGCAAGTCTCGTTGTCATTTTTTCCCTAGAAGAGTTGGCCAATACTTCTGCTTTTCATGGGAGGGTCGAAAAATGGTACGGTAGAATCCTTTCCTACCTCTTTGCTTCAAGGTCGCACGACATGTTCGTGAGGATAATCGACCATTCGGTGGAGTGAAGCTGATCGTTACAGGCGACTTCCTCCAGTTGCCACCAGTATGTGGCAAGAACGACACTGTAAAATTCTGCTTTGAGGTTCCTTTTGCTGTTTCAGTTTGGTCTTTCCTCTCATTCAATCACTCCTTTTTCTTTCAGTGCGAAGCTTGGAATCGCTCTATCCAGAAGACCATTATGCTGAAGTGTGTTCATCGACAGGATGACTCTCGCTTCGTCAAGGTTTTGCAGGAAATCCGTGTTGGGAAGTAAGCACTTGTTTAAACAGTTCTGTTCTGCCTAAAATTGAGCTTTTTTAAAGATGTAGCGATGACGTGTGTACGGCGTTGATGGAGACCAAAGAAAACAACTTCTCGGCCGAAGGCATAGTTCCTACAAGGCTATGCACGCACACATCGGATGCGTTAGCGGTAAACCGGCGGTGTTTAGAGGAACTTGAAGGTACGATTGTTTATAATCACGTTTGTATCACCTTTTTGGGGCAACTCGCCTTACTGCTTTATTCGCTAGGGACGTGCAAGATCTTTGAAGCTGAAGACAGTCAATACATTCCGGATTCACTTCAAGGCACTGTCGCGAAGAAACTCGTTCTGAAAGTTCACACTCAGGTCTCATTTAATGTTGAAGTGTTGTTTCGATTATAGCTGTGCGTAACCAGCGTTGTTAGCGGTTTGTTCGCTGTATTCATAGTGCCAAGGTGGTGGGCATAAGTGGTGTAATGGGAAGTTGCGATTTCGAGACCTTTTTATTCCAAGGGTTTTCAACTCCCGCATCAGCACTTTAATCTTTCGATAGTTTCAAAACATTTTGATACACCTGATGAAGTTCAAGGTCTGGCAAATACGCTCATTCCCATACGCCTTGCATATGTGCGGCGTGAAATGCCACTTTTTGCCACTTTTTTCTATGCCTTCTTCACTTTACAGTTGTGGTGATCAG